CTCCTCCTCCTCCTCCTCCTCCTCCTCCTCCTCCTCCTCCTCCCCCTTGGGGCGGGGTCGCTGCCCTGATCTGGGCCGAGCTCGCGCCCCGCGGAGCGATGGGGAGCCCTTGCGTCCCCCACTTCTTTCCCTAAAGTCGGGCCTGTCCCTCTACAGGGGGACTATTCCAACAGAGTCAAAACATAGTCTGGGTACGTTTTTTTTTGCGTGACAATTGTTGGCGATGTTGGACATACTTTTGGTGTATTTTATGTCCCGTCCAAAATCCGCCTGTAGGCGGACACGCCCGACCCAATTCTTGCCTCTCCAGGCAGGGTCGCGTCGTGCCAAAGTCGCGGCGGGAGGCTTGAGGCCATGCTCGGCCTCCGGAGGAGGAGGAGGTGGAGGAGGAGCTCCGAGGGGGCTTCCCGCCTGGCCCTGGCGGCTCGGCGTGAAGAGCGGGGCCCTGGGAAGCGGTCGAGACCTCTGGGGGTCGGCGTCCCAGACCTTCCTCGAGGGCTATAGAAATTAGCACCAGGGCCTCGACATTTAAGATCCAGTCGAGGCTTCTCGTCAGCAGTCCAGATAGGTCCATAAGTCTGGAGGGCTCTTCTTCAGCACCCTGGAAGGTCCGGGGTGGCGAGGCGTTTCAAACAGGGCCTTGCCTTCGATGATCAAAGGAGTTCTCACATTTTCCTCGGCGGAAGGCGGCGGAAGGGCGGCGGAAGTAAAGCGAGGCTGCCTCCGCCGGTGGAAGGTTGGCGGAAGGAATCGGAAGTAGAAAGTTGCTATCCAAGAGAGGACAACATTTTTGGGTTCTGGGTCTCTGGAATCCTGCATGTAGCCCTCTCCCCTGGGCTAGTCTGAGTAGCCCATGGGAGAGGGCTGCGTGGAGGATTCCCCTTGAGAGAGTATACGCGTCCCCCTTGTGAAAGTATCCCGGCGTCGGCGGGGCCCGGGTATCCTCGCCCCTCCAGGAAAAGTCAGGGGCAAGAGATAGTCAGGAGGGAACAACAAGACAATTAATCGTCGATTTCCGAGGAAATACAGGAAAATGTGGGAAGTGGGGGGGGGAAGACGAAAGCCGAGAGAATATGGGGGAATATGGGCAATCTGGTTATTTTTGTGTGTATTTATCTGTGTGTGTTTCAAGACCCCTTCAGAGAGGGGGCAGGTGGAGTTCCACGGGGCCTCTCCCGAGGATGTCCTATGTGGCGCTCCGCGCGGGCTCCTGGAGAGCCAGACCCCCGACGTCATGATTTTCTCTGGAGGGGAAGGAACGCACAGACACAAGGAATCGTCGAGTCCCCAGAAGATATGGAAAAATAACGATTTTCTGGAGGGAAAGAAACACACAGACACAAGGAATCGCCGAGTCCCCAGAAAATATGGAAAAATAAGCGAAGTGGGGGGAAGACAAACAAACATAGAAGATATCAGGAAAGATGGGGGAATCGTGTTATTTGTGTGTGGATTTCTCTGTGTGTGTGTGTCCTTGGGCCCCTTCAGATGTGTTCTTGACCTTGAGATCCGACGCTCCAGAAAAACTGGAGCAGGCGTCGGAGTAGCATCTGGGACCTGCTCTAGAACAGGAACATACCGTAGACGGATCTACCCTGTCTCCGACCTTGCACCGCGCCGAACGCAAAGGCAACGCTGTCCATGGTTGTATCCACCCTGAAAGTGTCGATGGACGTCGCGGCACCCAATGTGTCCATGGACGCTTTTGGCTAGGACGTGAGAACGGTATTTGGCATCGGCCCCAGATGGTCTTCTAGAAGCAGGTCGGCTTGGCCCTCCAAAGCAGCCGGTTTTTGACCGTTTTCGGCCTTTGTGGGCCCTCGCCAGGCTTCGAGAGCGTCAAAGAACGACTCAGGACGAAAATCCGCCTGTAGGGGGACAGGCCCGACCTAATCCTAGAGGAGTGGTCCAGACCTCCCGGGCCCACGCATCGAACACATGGGAGCAGCTGGCTGTCTGGGGACGGAGACCTCCAGAAGTTTTGGACCCCTTTCCCAGGACTTGCTTTTCACCCCAAGTCGTTTTGTTGATGGCCCCGAGGCTTAAGTCGGGCCTGTCCCTCTACAGGAGGAATGTTCAAATGGTCAAAAAATAACTAGTCAGGGGACGATTTGTTTTACCTTTTTTGATTCTTTGGGGGGGCACATTGGGGGTATCTTCTAAATTTCTCGTCCAAAATCCGCCTGTGGGGGGACACGCCCAGCCTAACCCGAGGCCTGGTAATTCTAAGGGCGCCTGGAGGCCGAAAAAAGCGGCAACTCTCCCGTCGTGATGTTTGTTCGCACGGAAGCCCGGAAGCCCTGGAACGCATCCCGAGCCAAACTCTCAGCATTCAGTCGGGCCTGTCCCTCCACAGGAGGAATTCTTGACGCTTCGCTTATCCCCACCAGCCCATCCTACACCAGGCACTCGAACGAAGAGCGCCGATGATTGGCAGCTGTTCTCCTCCCCTCTTCCTCCTTCTCCTCCGCCTTCTCCTCCTCCTCCTCTCCTCCTCCTCCCTCTCCTCCTCCTCCTCCTCCTCCTCCTCCTCCTCCTCCTCCTCCTCCTCCTCCTCCTCCTCGTCCGCCTCTTCCTCCTCCCTGGTGGCGTATTGGAAGTGTCTTCGAACGTTTTGGTGGGCTCTTGGGCCTTGCGGGCGGGCGGGCGGCGCTCCGCCCGCCCGCGCGCAGAGCCCAAGAGGGGGTCCAAGACGTCTTTTGGAACAATCTTGGAGGAGATCGATCAACGAAGGGGGGTTCCCTAATTACAGCCCCCCCCTCAGGAGCCACGATCCTCGTGAGGGGTGTCGAATTTTAGCCTTCCCAGGAGTCGATCTTGGACGCTCTAACTACCCGCGGCCCCCCCTGTCCAGGTCAGTGGGGAGGGGGTAGGGGGAGGGGTAAACCCCTCCCCGAAGGGGAAGAAGGAGGGGTGGAAGAGGAAACGCTCTAAACCACCGACGCCCAGAGGGCTGGTGGGATTCTCAAGAATAGCCAAAGAATAGTCGGGGACGATCTTTTGATTATTTTGGGAGTCTGCTTTGGCTATTCTTTATGTTCTTCGCGCAAAATCCCCCTGTCGGGGGACAGGCCCGGCCTAAGCGTAACATCAAGTCGGGCCTGCCCCTCTACAGAGGGAATGTTCAGAAATAGTCAAAAATAGTCTGGGGACTATTTTTTGAGTATTTTTGGGCATCTTTTCGGGGGCGGCAAAGAGGGGGGTGATGACTAGGGGGGGGGGGATATCATGGCGGGGGCCATGATATTTCCCCAGATTTCATGGCGCCTCTTCTTGTTTCAGTACGTCCCTGGCCCCCCCGCTGGGGCCGCGCACATGCCGCCGGTCATGATTTGCACCCCCCCCTCTTGGACACCCCCCTCTTGGCCGCTCCCGATGGTTGTTTTGAATCTTTTTTCGCTTTTCTTCCAAAATCCCCCCGTCGGGGGACAGGCCCGGCCCAAGCGTAGCATCAAGTCGGGCCTGTCCCTCTACAGGGGGAATGTTCAAGAATAGTCCAAAAATAGCATGGGGATCATTTTTTGAGTATTTTTGGGCGTCTTTTCGGGGGCGGCAAAGAGGGGGGTGATGACTAGGGGGGGGGAGATCATGGCGGGGGCCATGATCTTTCCCCAGATTTCATGGCGCCTCTTCTTGTTTCAGTACGTCCCTGACCCCCCCGCTGGGCCGCGCACATGCCGCCGGTCGTGATTTGCACCCCCCCCCTCTTGGACACTCCCCTCTTGGCCGCTCCCGATCTTTGTTTTGAATATTTTTTCGCTCTTGGCTCTTTGTTTTGAACATTTTTTTCGCTGTTCGTCCAAAATCCCCCCTGTCGGGGGACAGGCCCGGCCCACGCGCAGCAGGACGCCGGCCTCGCCCGAGGCGGCCCGCCGACGCCTGCGCCGAGCGGCGGGGGCGCCCACGATCGTGGCCCTGCGCGTCGCCTCTCGCGGTGTCCCGCGGGGTCCCGTGCTGTCCCGCGGTGTCCGCCGTGGCTCGGGCGAGGTACAGACAAATGATGCTGCCCCGCCCGCCCGTTCGTCCGTCCGGCGGTGGCTCGCGGTGTTCCGCGGTGTCTCTTCTGGTGTCCCGTGCGGTCCCGTGGTGTCCGCCGCTGCTCGGGCGAGGTACAGTTAAGTCGGGCCTGTCCCCCTACAGGGAGACCTTCGACGAAAAATAGAAGAGACCCCAAAAGTACTCCAAGAAGGTGAAACATAGTATTTAAAAAATAGTCCCCAGACTATTTTTGGATAGTTTTTTTAATTATTTTTTGGAGTATTTGTTTTTTTTCGTCGAAAACCCCCCTGTAGGGGGACAGGCCCGACTTAAAAGTACAGACAATGCCCCGCCCGCCCGTCCGTCCGTCCGTCCAGCTGCGGCTCGCGGTGTCCCGCGGTGTCTCTTATGGTGTCCCGTGGGGTCCCGTGGTGTCCTGCTGAGGGAGATCGATGGTGAGGTCGAGACTGAGATCGATGAGGTGCCCCGAGGCGTCCCGCGGTGTCCCAAACAGTGAGATCGATAGTGAGATCGACAGGTGTCCTGTGGTGTCCCGTGGTGTCCTGTGGTGTCCCGTTGAGTGAGATCGATCGTGAGATCGATACTGAGATTGATGCTGAGATGGATGTGGTGCCCCGAGGTGTCACGTGGTGTCCCGTGGTGTCCCGTGGTGTTCTATGGTGCCCCGTTGAGTGAGATCGATAGTGAGATCAATAGTGAGACCGATAGTGAGATCGAGAGGTGTCCCGCGGTGTCCCGTGGTGTCCCGTGGAGGCCCGTGGTGTCCCGTGGTGTCCCGTTGAGTGAGATCGACAGTGAGATCGAGCGCTGTGGAACCGATCTGAAGCCCCCGACTTCGCGTCGACTGGCGTCGGGGGGCGCCGCGTCGTAAGGGCCAGCAGGAGGACACGAGAGGCCCCCGCAGGTTGCCGCAGCAGGCCCCCTGCCAGAAGTTTCGCCCCCGCGCCCAGGTGGAACCGGGCGCGAGGGCAGCAGCTCCTGCGCCCCGGCGTCACCGTCGTGGAGGCCAACGGCGCCACCGGGTACTGGTCCATCCTGGAGGATCGGGTCGGGCGAAAGGGGGGTTCGGGGAACGGGGGGGCACGAAATCTGCTGCATGTAGCTGGTTTCGGCCCCGCCGAGGGGCCCATTCCTCGATACATGGGCGCCTCCCGGCGCCTGGAGGCGCCAGGAAAATCAGCTACGTGAGCTGATTCTCAAACACCCCCCTTTGCTATCCCCCCCTTTCGCCCGACCCGAGAGGAGCTCCAGAAGCCTGGCCCCCTGGCCATGAAGGTAGCCTCGGAGAAGAGAGGGCGGCACGAACAGCAGTGCTCGGAGGTGCGCACCAGACCTCTCGGATCTGCACCGATCCCCACCCGGCGGCGCCTCCGGCGCCGCCCCCGGAGCGCTCCGCGCGCCAGCGTGGGCGTCGGCGCCGATCCAAGACATCTGCGTGGCCCTTCGAAACCTATTGTTTGTTGCGGTGCTTCCTTGTTCTAGATCCACCGTTCCCCCGGGCAGTGCTGGCGCCAACTGGTTCCACGAGATCCAGCAGGCGGGGAGGAGGATGACCGCGCAGGCCAGCACAGGCAGAAATTCGGTCCTGGTGCCGCTCCAGCCAGGGGGGGCCTGCACTGACAGCAGAGGTTTCTCGAGTCTCCCCACCATGCTTGCTGGCGGCTGCGACATCGACCAGTGCGCGATCTGCATTGGCGACGTCCACCCCGAGGATCGGCTGGTGCAGCTTGTCTGCGGGCACTTCTTCCATGCCCTTTGTGCAGCGCGATGGCTGGCCGAGGGAGGCAAGGCGGGGCAGGACCACTGCAGCCGCTGTCCCCTGTGCGGTCGGCAGGTCGTGGGCACGTCTGGGCAGCAACTGGTTGCGTGAGACGCGATCCGCACACGACAATGGATCCACAGGTGCGCTTTCGCGCGCGTCCGCAACCGCGGTTGGGGAAGATCTGCAGCGACGTTGTGGCGTGGCACGGGTATAGCGCTGCACGGTTGTTGCGGTCGCCTTCTTGGGGGCCTCTCTGTGGCCCCTGGAGAACGTTTTGGGATGCACCATGCGGCCGCTGGTTGTTGGCCTTCTGTCTGTTTTTTTGTTGGGTGGACTAGCGGTGCCTTGAGGCTGTCTGGCAGCTCTTGGCTGGGCCACGCGAAGCGCGGTGGCGGATCTGGCGAAGATGTTTTATGAATCCGTCTACGTCGTTGCGGGCGCTGGAGGCAGTCGCAGTCGAAGTCGCAGCGTGCTGGAGGCCGTCGCTGCAGACCCCGCATCCGTTCCGAGTTCAGAGCGCTCAGCAGGCGTCCCCTGCCGGATGGTGGCACTAAAACTCAAGCAGTGGCGAAGCGTCCTGGCGTGCCTATAGGCCTGCCAAACAATGTTCTAATAACCTTTTGTGGTTTCCACGAAATTATCTCAGAGCATTTCTGGCTGGAACTGCATTGTGCTATCGCATCGGGTTTATGTTCTAAGAACATCGTGTTTGTTCTAAACACATGTTTGGGGATTATGAGAAGATTCCGTGGTAGGCCTATAGGATTGTTGGGACGGTCGGTCCCTGCTAAAAAAAACCATCCGAACCTTCTCGGATTTATAAGCGACTTGCCGGGTGCCGAGTTTGTAGTCCCCGATCGTTCCGTCTTGTTGCCAGAAGAGGTTGCCCCCGCCCTGTGCCCAAGAAGCACCTCTTCGGGCCCACGAGCAGGATCTCCCTGCCCGCGCTCGCGCTGATGGCATCGTCCCTCGGGGCAGTTTCACCACTGCCTCCCCTGTGGTCTCGTGCGTTGGCTCGAAGAAGAATACATTGCAGGACCATGAACTTTCGGAGCTCCGCTCGGATATCTGGGATCGGCGCTGGACCTTCTGGCGGCGCCTCGCTCTGGGCGCCAGGGAGGAGGGTCCAGTGCCGATCCAAGATATCTGATCGTGGTTTCTAAAGTTTAGGTCTATGTGTTTTCTTATCCTTCTGGCACCTTTGTATAATTTGAAGCGCTCTGCGTGTTGCGTTCTGGCTTGCTTCTCCGCGCACCACATGTGCGCGTGCAGTGAGTAATGCACTGCGGTGAGTAAATGTAATGCACTGCGGATTGTACATGCTCCCCACGTTCGTCCAACAGCGCTCGCGCGTTAGGGGGTGCCCGCCTGTGCCCGTGGCTAGCCAGAACGGCGGTTTTCCACCCAGCCTCATGGGGCTCTGACGGCGTTGTGGTGGCCGCAAAGGAACTCGTCCTCATCGTCATTACGCTCCAGATTTTACCCGCATCAGCAGCAGCTATTTTACGAACTCGACCCTGGAGTAGAACCATTAGGATGCAACTCCTCGGAGGTTCAATCCAGCACCGGCGCTGGTGTATTCGTGGTCGATACCCAGCCGAATCAGGTATAGTCCCGCCTCATTCCTCTTGAGCCCGCTTTGTCTGGCGTGATCCGGCGTAGTCCCTGGCTTATCCAATCTAGTCTGGCGTGATGCCTCCTTGATCGGGCTAAAAAGCTCGGCCGAGGATAAGTCCGCTCCAGAGCGTTACGAAGCGTTCTCAGTGCTCCTGAACGCTCTGAGGAGGCCGCGGACCCGATAGTCACATCCTCCAGAGCCGTCAGTCTCAGAGATTCTCGATTTATCCTTACCCGATTGTATTCTCGTCCTGGCTTCGTCAGATTGAAAGTTCTTTAGTGCTCTCACGAAGACGTCCCAAGAGGTGCCTCCTAAGATCCAGGGCCTGCCTGTGAAGAAATCATGCATGTCTCGCGCGGTGCGGAAGAGGTGCATGGTGCATAGTACCGAGGCCACACGGCCGCCCCGTCAGACGTGGGACGGCGCTCCCCCGCGGCGAGGTTTTGACGCGGGTCCGACGTGAGTCCTCCTCCTCCTCCTCTTCCTCCTCCTCCTCCTTCTCCTCCGCCGCTTCCTCCTCCTCCTCCTCCGACGCGAGCCTGGCATGCGTCCGACGCGAGTCCGACGTGGATCCGACGCAGTCGGGGGTGGGCAGAGCCCCCGCCCTGACGCGTCGATTCGTGAATTGTCCGTCCTCGGCCCTCGGGAGGGCGCCGCGGCCGTCCTTCTCCAGGCCTGCGCCCGCCAGGTTCGGGCCCGAGGTCGTCTTCACCAAACTGCGTGCTCCTGGAGGGGGTTCCTTTCCATCCCCGACGCAGCCTGGGCCTCGAGCTGCCGCGCGAGGCCTCCAGGACTTGCCGCGCCCGAGGGCTGGCCGAGAGAGAGCCCCCGGCGCGGATCGGCAGCGGCCGCGCGAAGCGCAGGTGCCCCCCCCTGCGGACACGGGGGCGGGCAGGCGCAGGGTCGTGGTGGCCTTCTGCTGGCGGCGGCGAGCACCGACGAGGGGGGGGTCATGGGCCTCGGCCCGCTCGGCCTGAGTCGGGCCTGTCCCTCTGCAGGAGGAGTCTGGGGACGATTCTGTTTGACCATTCTTGAGCATTTGGGAGCAGTGTTGGATTACTTGTCTTTTCAAGATCCGCTGGTAGGGGGGGCAGGCCCGACCTAAGCCTCGGCGCAGACGTTGGGGCATGGGTCTCGGCGGGGCTTCGGCGTAGCCGCCGCCGCCGACGACGACGACGACGGCGCCGGCGACGAGGACGGCGACGAGGACGGCGACGAGGACGACGGCGACGGCGACGACGACGATGACGACGAGGCTCTGTACAGCACAGGCTTGGGGGCACGGCAGCGCATTGGGAGCGGGGGCGACGGGCACTTGGGAGAGAGTGCAAACCCAAGGAGGACAACAATACAGTGCCGTTTTTGAATGCATGCTCCGCGTGCGGACCATGTATTAAAAATAGAGGGTTGATTAATGAATACAAGGATGAGCTTATGCCGTCATTTGCGCATGAATTCGCCATGCAGTAAAAATCCGATGTTTTGAAACATCCTATGTTTTAGAAACTGCCCTGTACCGATGCCGCCGGTGGCCTTCCCTCGTCTCCACGGCGGGATCTTCCACGCCCTGGTCATGTCGCACCCCAGGAGCAGCGTCCGTAGAGCCAGCGGTGCGGGCAGTGACCTGCTGGTTCCCCCGACGGAGCGCACGATTCAGGAGGGAAAGAAACACACAGACACAAGTAATCGGCGATTCACCAGAAAATATGGGAAAATATGGGAAGTGTGGGGGAAGGCAAAAACCCAGAAAATATGGGAACATATGGGGAAGCCTTTTATTTGTGTGTGTATTTATTGGTGTGGCCCAGGGCCCCTTCAACGATGAAAAGCGGGGTCGGCCGCGCGGGCACTCGCGCGAAGGCTGCCCGCCTCGGGCGACGCGTGGGCGCCCCCGTGGTTGCCAGCGCAGCGGTCGCGCTGGCGGCCCGCGTGAGGCCACCGCGCGAGTTCGGTGTGTTTATGTCGGGCGTCTCCCCCTTACAGGGGGACTTTCGACGAAAAACAAAAAGATTCCAAATATTCCAACATGGTCAAAAATACTTCAAACATAGTCCCCATATCATTTTTGGAATATTTTTTATTTTTGTGGGGGGGGATCTTTAATTTTTCGTTGAAAGTCCCCCTGTAGGGGGGACAGGCCCGACTTAACCGTTGTGCCCTCGCAAGGCCCGCCTCGTTTTCGTCGCTCCACCGCCGAGGCAACGATCGGGGGGGGGGGGAGATGCTCAGGGCGGACTGCACGGAGCCCAATCGCCCACTCACCCACAAACCCGCCCACCAACCTGCTGATTTGCCATCGGGGGGGGGGGCACATCGCCGATCTATCGGCGATGTATCGACGATTCCAGGTCGGGTCGATTTCCCCCCCCCCCCCCCCCCCCCCCCCCCCCCTGAGCCTGAGCCTGTCCGTTTTTGGCGGACTGGGGCCCGAAAACGGTCCCAGGGCCCCCCCCCCTATCGTCGCCTCTGACACTTGAGATTTGAGTCCAAGGCATGGGCCTTTGAAGGGCCAGCATTCAGTCGGACATGTCCCTCTGCAGGAGGAGTAAGGGAAAAGTCTGGCGACTTTTTTGCGTGCTTTTTCAAAACGTGGTATGTTCGACTTTTTCGATACTTGTCAATTTTTCTCACAACATCCGCCTGTAGGAGGACATGCCCGACCTGAGGCCAGCCGAGGCGAAGCAGGGGGGCTCGGCGGGGCCCGTGGCCGCGGCGAGCACTGGGGGCTGCAAGGCCCAGCCAGGCAGCGCTGGCGAGGGGGGTGTTCCACCTGTGTCTCGGCTCGACCCTGGCATGGATTCGAGTGCGATGGGCGCCATTTTGAGACTTGCAGCTTGATCTCCGTCAGTGATAAGACCTGCATCTGATGTCCGTCAGGTTGATTTCCGTCAGTTGGTTTCCTGCAGTGGGATCTGGCAGGTGATGAGACTTGCAGTTTGATGTCCGTCAGTGCGCGACTGTGCGGTCGAAGTTCGGGCGTAGCCCGATCCTGTAGGCATCCGTGTGGGAGCTGACATCCCGAAGCATTGCCTCCGAGGGTCTATCACCCACTATCTGTGTATGTGTTTATTTATTCATGCGTATACATACAGACATGCACCGAGGTAGTATATCTACTGTGGCGCGGGCGCACGGCAGGGGCTTATATGCCGCGCCGCCGCCGCCGCCACCGCCGTCGCCGCCGCCGTTCTGCCGCGCCGCCGCCGCCGCCGCCGCCGTTCTGCCGCGCCGCCGCCGCCGCCGCTGCCGCCGCCGCCGTTGTCGCTGCCATTCTGCTGCGCCGCCGCCGCCGCTGCCGCCGTCGTCGCCGCCGTCCCGGCGGCCCGCCGGCGCCGAGGGCGCCCCGCGTGGCGCTCGGCGGCGCCGCTCCCTCCGGTGGGGGCGGAGAGACCGTCGCGCTCCGAGACGCGCGCCGAGGGCCGCGGGGCGCGCGCCCACGCGCGCAGCGCGCCCTCATCGCCGCCGCCGCCGCTGCCTTCTCTCCTCTCCTCCTCCTCCTCCTCCCTCCTCCCTCCTCCTCCCTCCTCCCTCCTCTCCTCCTCCTCCTCCTCCTCCTCCTCCTCCTCCTCTCCTCGGCCCCTCCCTCCCTCCACGCTCCCCGGCCCCTCCCTCGGTCGTGGGCCCTTCTCTGCTGCTCCCCTGCTGTCTGGACCGGTCTCCAGAGGAGCCAGGCCAGCCCTCTCTCCTGGTCCTCTTGCCCGTCTCTCCTCCCCTCCCCTCCCTCTCCCTCCCCTCCCCCCTCTCTCCTCCTCTCCCTCCCCTCTTGCCACTCTCCTCCTCCCCCTTCCCCTCCTCCTCCATCGCTCTCCGCAGCACGCTGGAAAGACAGCCCCCACCACCCTGGGGGCCGCCCACCAGGCCTCCCCCCTATAGGCCTCCGATGACGTCGACGTCGACGTCATCGACGTCGACGTCATCGTCGTCGTCGTCGTCGTCGTCGTCGTCGTCGTCGTCGTCGACGTCCTCGTCCTCGTCGACGTCGTCCTCGTCGTCGTCCTCGTCGTCGTCGTCGTCGCCCGTCGCCCGTCGCCCGTCGCCCGTCGCCCTCGCTGGGCGTCGTCTGTCGGGCGTCGTCGTCGGTCGCCCGTCGGTCGCTCGGCCCTCCCTCCCGGCCTCGCCGCGGCCGCTCGGCTCCCTCCAGCCGCCAGCGGGGACGGCGGGCGGCGGCGGCGGCGGCCTCCCCGCACTGCGCGCGGGGCGGCCGCGCGGCGCGGCGCGGCGCGGCGCGGGGGGGGGCCGAGCAGAGGCGAGGCGTCCTGGGCCTCAGGGGGCCCTGGAAACGACAGGGCCGTTTTTTCCCCGGTTCCGTTTTGCCGTTTTTCTACCGGTGCCGCCGCCGTTCTTTTGCCTGTTCCGTTGCCGTTTTTTGTTACCGGTTCCGGCTCCGGTTCCGATCCTGGAGCCGTTTTTGTTGTCTCCGGTTGTCGTTTTTTTGTCGTTTCCGTTTTCAAGGGACATTTTTTGGAAACGGTGAAAAAAACGGCCCTGCCGTTTCCGGGGCCCACAAAGTCCTGGGCTCGCCTGCAGGCCCACCGCAGAAGGTTCTGAGCTCTTCTTGTTCGGCTGCACGTGAGGAATGACCTTTTTCGCCGCGGTGGCCCTGGGTGCGGGCCCAAGGTCAGGAGGGAAAAAAACACACAGACACAATTAAACGTCGATTCCCCAGAAAATATGGGAACATATGGGAAGTGGGGGGGAAGACAAAAACCCAGAAAATATGTGAAAAGATGGGGAATATTTTTATTCGTGTGTGTACTTATTTGTGTGTCCTGGGGCCCCTTCACAAGGGGGTCCCCCGATCGCTGAACGCGAAGCGGTACCTGCGGCCTGCGGCCCTGGGTTTGGCCACCCCGAGTCTTTCGAAGAGCCGCGCTCCGCAGGGCACTCTTGCCCAGGGTCGCGCTTGCGTGTAGCCGACGCTTGCGGCCTGCACGGCATGCTCTCGGAACCTTTCTGGTGGAGACCTGTCCTGCGTTTTTTGCCCGTGGCCATCGGCTTCAGGTTCTCATTTGGCATCGCTCGGACGTGTGCATTTTTCTTTCGGCGAGGATCATCGAGGAGCATCCTTGATCATTTGGCGAAGAAAACACGCACGAAACCGAACAAAAACACAGGGAAATGGACGTCCGAGCGACGGCGAGCTCAGAGCACTGTGGCAGGCGATGTTTCTCCCCCAAGGCCCGAGCTCTCGACGAAAACTGAAGCTAC